ACCATTTAATGGCCCAATAAGAAAAATGGAAAGAACTAGTGGCACACATCCAAAGACAGAAGGATTCACACTTAAAGAGAACAAGGACTGCATATTCTCTCACTGTGTGATACGCTGTCTGCAGGAACAAACATCAAACCCAGATTTCACCATTTCTCTATTGGCAGTAAAGGGAAATAGGCAGAAAGCCCTGAGCATTTCTTACTGTGCCATAGAGGCTCACTCATCAATCCGTTGTAAACATTCTCCTGCCACCAAAGCTTCAATGACACAATGACCCTTCTGCTTTCATATTTTGCAAACAGAATAAACTAAACAAAACTCTGTCCTCCACCCTGGTAAATTTCAGAAGAAACCATGCTTGGGATTAACTCAACTACGTTAGTGAAAACATAGTAATAATAGCAACAGATAACTAAACCCTCAGATGAGGAAATTCATTATATTGCCATCAGAATTTTGATACTGGATAGTTAATGAGCTTGAGGACACACATTGTAAGGCATGACAGAGATTAAATACTGAACATCGGCTTACTAAGAAAACAGTTGACTTTGTCTTGTGCAATGGGAGAGCTGAGGTTCCTAGAAGCATAAACATACGACCATGCACTGTGCCACAGACTTTACACAGCACCCAACAGGGTCAATTACAGTTCTAGAGACAAGCTTCATTCTTCCAGCAATAGAATTTTCCATTTGACACCTTTCTGTACTTCTCAAATAGGTCCCATTCTCCATTTGAAGGACAGGAATCCTTATTAAAGCAACTAAACTTCTGCTTTATAGCACATAAACACGGGCAATAAACCATGTGCTATACAGCATATTACCAGAATATAAGGCTGGTCAAAGCCAGGCTCGGCCACAGACACTTTCCTCTTTCATTTCAAGAAGTGAGTGTACAACTACTGAAGCAGTTTATGCTCCGTCTCAAGCACGGACTACATTAAACCTAAATTCTATATTGAAGTAAAATCATTTGAACAGAGGACCATGCTTACATCCTTTTTTTTGGTTTAAACACACCATTGCAAGTACAGCCTTGAGCTCTTGGTACTTTTCAGCATGGGTTCAGCAATATTGACTCCCTAAAGCATGTGTGAGATTTTCAGGAAGACAAACTATGGACATTGTCTCTCTAATAGGTAGAGTTAATTATAGAGCATGGACTAGAGCTCTCTCAGGTTTGAGTTCTACCAGAATGGTGAAAATAATTAAGTAGGTAAATAAATAACTATGGATTATCACATGAAGAAAGTAATTAGCTTTCACTGCTGAAGGTGTGCAGGTATATACACAAACAAGCTCATCTCTTTACAGAGGGCCATATTCCACAAAAGGGCACTGGAAACAAGATAGCTGCTGCAGCATGGCAAGCTGCTGGCACTTGGTATTACCAAGGTAACAGGGATATTAGCTATCCACAGCCTCACCTACCAGACACAGGGGCATTGAAGGCCTCTCAGCAGTCTCACCTATATTGGTCAAGTGCGGCAACTGTCCCCAGGGAGAGCTGTGGTAGGGCCCAGAAATTCTGTGAAGCATTAAAGACCAGATCACGCCAGAAACCAAGCTGCATGCACACATCTTGGGGTGAGAGGAAGTTGGGAGTATACCCCAGTGTCCTGGTTCTGGCCAAGACAGGGTTAACTTTTGCACCAGTCAGGAGAGGCACACCAAGTCCCTGGAGTTATTCTATACCACCTCATGCTATGTGGAGGTGTGTGGGTACCCTTCCAGTGTGGTCAGTGCACAGTGGTTAGTGGTCAGTCATGAGGCACCAGGTTCCACATGGTGAGCAATTGCATGTGAATCGTTCACCTTTCTGGTAAACTGTTATTACTATCATTGCTGTTATTGTTAATTTTCTTATTTCATTGCTGTTTCTAGTAAATTGTTCTTTTCTCAACCCTTGATAACCACCTTTTTGTGCCTCTCATTCCCTCCATCCTGTCACAGCAAAGACGAGTAGGGGAGTGAGCAGGCAGCACATCGTCTGAGGTGTTTGAGTGGGAACACTAAATCAGGGAATACCATTCCTAAACCACGACACCTAGTTATGCTCTTTACATTCTTTCAATACATTTTCACTACCAGATGTTGGACTTCAATATTGGGTAGAAGTTCAGGCAACCGGTGGCTCAGTTATTTCAAAATGTCATGTCCAAAGGCTGTATATTTTTCTGTGTAATTTTTAATGGAAAAAAATACTTGACTTCCGCATAATTTGTTTCACCCCTTCCCTAAGTCACTTCTGTGCCCAGCTGCCATGCATGGCTGAGGGCATGTCTCTTGATTTAAAAGACTGGATTTCAAACCAGAAGTTAGCACAGGCTAGAACACATCTGTGGGATCTGTGATTATTCCCTTCAAGCCTGCCATAGCTCCCACAATTCCTGAAGCCCTAAACAAGAGAATGCGTTCATCACGCTTGTTGGAAAGCCAAGGCAAAAAGTCCAAAACAACAAAGGTGATGACCCTGTCCTTTCTGTTAGCCTCTCCTAGAACCACATTAACGAAGTGATGAAGCTGTGATTCCCTGGCTTTTTATCCCGACATCCTGTAGCTGCATTAAAGGAGAAACTTCATGACTGTGGGTTCATGACCTAGGATGTGCGCTTTCAAATTGTATTCTGTGTAAATAACCTGTTCCTACTCACTTGACAAAAGTGCTTATTTCTCACTTTTAAGTGTGAGAAATTGGCAAATATCATCATGGAGCTGCCTAAAACTTAAAACGTCTTGGATTTTTTTATACCTGCTAACAACAACTTGTATATGTATACATAGCAGACAAAACTGTTGTTTCAGTTTTCTCCCCTGCATTTTTACTTTTCCTGGAGTTGGCAAAGAAATGAAGGTGATTTCTACATAATTAAGTAATGGAGGAAATAATCCATCTCTTTTAAAATTTTTTAAACATTTGTCTCATATTTCCAGCCACCAATCCACAGTACTTCAAGACATTGTCTTGTATATCATCAAATACATCTCTTCATCAGGACAAAGGAACCTCTCTTTCATGAAACTTTAGAAAAAGAAAAGAAGAAAAAATACAGCTCCTTTCTACAGCTTTATCCATCTTTTCTGATTCTGCAGAAAGCAGCTTCATCTTTCAAATGCATGCTACCTTGGATTACCCATAGGAGAAAGAAATCCACAGGAAACTGTGCACTTGTGTTTCCACAATCCAGGTGTCCTGCCCAAAGCAGGACTTTCTGTTGCTAATCTCAAAGGTAGCCCACTACACCACTAGAAAAGCTGCACTCCAAAGCCTTGACTGAAATCAAATAATGTTCCTCCAAGTATTCCTGTTCTCTCTCTCCATGGACCCAACTCTTTGTCTTATTGGCATATTGCTCAAGGTTTTCCAAGAGACTCTGCCACCTAGTTCTCAGCCAGCTCTGCAAAGTCTAGATAGCTGACAGTATCACAGCGAAGACTGGATGCTTTATTCAAGCTCAGGCTGTATGCATCCTGCTCATGAATGTGATTGTTCGGCTTTTTCCCCTCCACTCATGACCTATGTCATTGCTCAGAAACAGTTCCACCTATAAACATACATTGAACATATTATGTGCACACTGATATGCTTATATGAATCCACTAGACTCTCTAGATACATATTCATTGAATACATTATTGCTTGGATTATTCAGCCTGGAGAAGAGAAGGCTTTGGGGAGACTTCAGCACACCCTTCCATACCACAAGGAGGCTCATAAAAAGGAGGGAGAGGAACATTGCATATGAGCACTTAGTGACAAGACAAGGGACAACAGTTTTAAACGTAGAGAGGACAGGTTTAGATTAGGAACTAGGAAGATATTCTTTACTCAGAAGGTCATGAAGCACTGGAACAGAGAAGTTGTGGATGCCCCATCCCTGATAGTGTTCAAGGCCAGGCTGGAAGGGGTCCTGAGCAACCACATCTAGTGAATGGCACCCCCGACCACAGTAGGGGGAGTGGAAATAGATGATCTTTAAGGTCCCTTCCAATCCAAACCATCCTATGAGTCTCGGATTATGAAACAACAAATGTTGACAAGGTAGTGCTTCTGCATCTGTCTGTCTGGTAACCAGTACCCTCTTTTAAATGATCATATGAATACCTGTCTCTAGCAATGTCACAGGAGGACAATTCCCTCTAAATCCTTTCTTTTCTTAGAAGCATAATCCCAAACTTCTTTATTTGCAGAACAACTTTCAATAATTCAATAACTTTACAACATGCAGTATGCAACCAGAGAATTTCATTCTTATCCATGCTTCCATCCTGAATCACAAGGATTGCACCAGAAGTTTGACCCAATGGTAACAATGGGTTCAGCTACCTTAAATTAATGTCATTTCTTCAGTAAAGGTTTGCTGCGTACACCTTTTAAGTCTTATTCTGAATTGTCACACCTATTTGTTTTCTTCTTGTGCCAAATTGTACTGTTACAAGAATCAACTTAAGTAGAAGAGAGTGCTTCCCAAAGGTTAAGTCCCTCACATAAATGAAACTCTCTTTCTTTCAGATGAATCCCATGTCAGTGGTGGAAGCCTAAACATGGAAAGTGACTAGATTTGTCTCATATCACTGGTCAACACAAAGAAAGCTTTGTAATCAATACAGAAGATAGTTGCACTGTATCTCTCGGAAAGACAATAAATTATGACCCATCTCAAAAATTGCAAGTGCAAGCTAGGAAATCATCCTCATAGGGACAGAGAAACTTCTTGCATTTAATATAGTGTGAATATTTAAAAAATTGTAAAAGATGTATTTTTCATCATATTCACTCTCTATTTCAACTTTGCAGTGCTTTTCTGTGTTGAGGTGTATTTAAACAGGGACAGAGCTCAAGGAACAGAGCACAAGATTATAAATTTTCGTGTGGCAAAGTAATTATCTGGCTAAATCCAGGTGCTCAGGGAACTAGCCACAAATCAGCTGAAATCAGCAGTCCTCCATTAGGCTTTATGACTCGACCAATGTCTGTTGAGAGCCAGATACCTACCTTGTCTCGAATCCCTTGTCTCATAACTTCTCTTTCAGCCTCCATCTTGGCATATTTGGCTTTCCTCTCTTCCTCTTGTTGCCTGAGGGCTTCCTGTCGTTCCTCTTCTTTCTTGGCAGCATCTGGGTCTTTCTCCTCATCCCCACCCAGCATCTTCCCCATGTCTTTGGTAGCCCCTACAGAAAGCACAAGAGAAAGTCAGCCCTGTAAGAATGTGGTGCAAAGCAACAAGATGTCAGCTCTATTCTTCCGTATACTCAGGGCCTCCTTTCACTCCCTCTGCATCTGAGAAAATTTCTCCTTCCACTGAGGAGGCAGTGCAGTCCCTCCAGAGGCAGGTGGTGGGCACAGCACTCAGCCTGACCAGGTGAGTTACCTGGTGGGAGCACAACAGCAAAAGGAAGAGACTACATCTGTAGATTTGCATGATGGCAGCACAGTTGGTTTGCAGTCCTGAAGGAGGCAAGCTGCCATCCACACAGTGTTTTCACTTCATCAGCTCAGCCAAGTGACTGAAGATTGATTTTGAAGGGTCTTTAATATAATAGGCAGTAATACATCCAGAATGAAATTACACCAGGGCTAGAAGAGGAATTTGAAATCTCAATTGCAGGGATGAGTAATCACAGCCTTAATTGTTGCCAGAAATTGCACATCCCATGCCAGATAGGAACACACAGCATTAGCAAACATTTGGAGTTGTTGATGAATTCCAGCCTTCTACCATGTATCAGAAAGAAGAATCATTTCTGCTTGTCTCTTATCTGCCCTTGGACACCACTGCCTGTAACACTTAGTATGAAGGTGGGATCCTGGCTTTGCCTTGTCTTCTTTCTACCCCTGAATACACCTTGGTCCCAATTTTCAGTCCCTGTGTGTTCCTGAGCCAGCCCTTTGTTATTGTGCAAAGCCCTTGCACAACTATCTAACTGGCATGGAGGGTCCTTGCATGGCCTTCTGTCCCCACAGGACTGCATAAACCCTTTTACCCTGTATTCCAGAGGCATTTTTATTGACAAACAACTGTCAATCATCTATCCAGGGAGGAAAGCAGGTGTTGGGGAGAGAAGGAGAGCATGTACTGTGATACCCATCATCAGGGCACTGGAAGACTGCAGAAAGATCAAGCCTGTTTACACGAATGAAGTGAAGACACACAGCCTTTGGAAGCTGTGTTGGATCTTGCCTAGAACAGGGAACCACTGTGCATCATTCACTTCCTTCATCCTGGAAGAACACTATAGTTGACTGGTTACTGTCCTTAGCTGCTGAATCACGGCACTTCCAGACTGGCCAGTTGCTGGCTGAGACTTAATTGAATTAATCTGATAGTCTCGTTGTAACACACAGTCACATGTGCATATTTGTATACATATTAAACATCTCTTGTCTTGCATAAGGCAAAGTTTTCTGGCATTTACAAAGGCTTAGGATGGAAGGAGACACTATCAACGTCCTCCCAAATAATTGTTTGCTACCATTATTACAGGACAAATGAAGGAAAGAGGTTTTCACAACTCCTTATGTCTCCCTTTTAAATTACCTCATCAGTGTGAAAGCACTGCTGGAGGACTGTGTTTGCTCTTGCTTTCCACATTAGTTCTTGGGATAGTGATGGCAAAACCTCGGTCTTTAAAGTGAGAAATATCTGCAACCTGTCACAATGATCCCTCCTGAATTACTCCAGACACTGTAGTTATCATATTAACTATTGCCTCTAATAACCACCAAGGAATTTGTTAAGAGGCAAGCAGATCATTTTCCTCTCCATGTTTCTTTTCCAGGTCACATATTTTCCCAGAACTCTAAACAGAAGGCAACCCTAAATAAAAAAAAAACAACCTTCAATCCCCTAAAATGTGGCTGAGAAATGCACCTTTTACATCTCCCACAGAGAAGCATGGGGAAACATCATTTTAAGCCTGACAAGGTCTGATTGTTAGACACTGAGATTTTTGACAGGTGGGAAATAATAACAATTAGTAAATATGACTATCTCCATTCAGCTAGTTAACCACAAGCCTCCTGACACTTTCACTGTTGGGAAACTTGTGAATAAAACCAGAAAGACACCTAGGGACTCACAAAAAAACCCCACTTGGAATATTCATGGACTCTATCTACTGTCAGCCTTCCTCTGCTATCATTTTGCATCCTTCTTTGCAGGCTCAGAGTAGTACAGGAACTCCTGCATTTTGAGGGCAAATTTATTCAGATTATCTGGTGCTTTCTTTCCTGTAATGAAAGGAAGGATAACTGAAATTCAAAGTAAGCTAAAATTTCACAGCAAGTGGAAAGGAAATGTTGTCTAGCTGGGTCACAGAGGGACCTCTCTAAGCAGACTTACCATGCATAAATCATTGATCACCAATGCCACTAACACCTTTAATTTCTGGATCTCTCTCAACAAATTTTTCCACCAATGATCAAACTGATTTGGATTCAATAATATATCAAGTTTATCTCTTTTTAGCTTCTCTGCACTTATTGCTACCTAGACAGTATAATACACTAGTTACTTAGGAAACAGAATTCAGCAGAAGAAAGTGATTGTTTTTTCCCTCTAAGCACTACTTCTAGGCTATCATTAAGTTATAATGTCAGCTCAGCTCATCACGTAAGAAATGAAATGGCATAACTTTCTTTTATCTCTTAGACAAGACCAAGATTTTAAAAACTTTAGGCATTTGATCTTGCAGCTAAACTGCACACAGGACACTTAGAAGAACAAGAATGTAGTTTCCTTATAGCCTCCCTTAATTCACCTCTGCTGCACTGTAGTATCACCATTAACTAATTGGAAGGAAATGTATGCTGAGAACCAAAATTTTACACTATATTTTAACTAAGGTCTCCTGTGTTACTGTTGGTATAGAAGAGCTTTTCTCCTTCTCATTTGTTCTTCATCCTAAACATTAGAATTTGTTGTTAAGTTTCCCTGGATAACAGCTTCTGTTTTCAGAAGTTCAGCAGTTCAGCAGCTTCAGAGAATTCATCTGCATGCTACTGAGCTGCCACAGTTACAGCCACAAGCAGACGGAAAGAGCAGTTTTTCTGTCCTCAAGCCTACTTTTGAGCTTCCAAGGAAACAGAGGGGAAAGACACATTTACCGAATCTGTTCATATGATAAGTCTGGATCATTTTGTCTTCCTTCACATCCCAACTATGACCTCTACCTTGACATAAAGAGAAGAGACTGTCACACTAATTACTAATCAGTAAGGAGCTTCAATCAGCATTATTGCGAACATCACTGAACAGGCTACAGGAAGAAAACAGAAATGGCTAAAGCTCCAGAACAATATGTGCAAACTGTCACCTTTCTGGCTACAATAAACAGCCCTTGTCCCAAAGAACAAAAATTTTCCATAAGGGAAAGCATCCCAGAGTTGGTGTGCCTAGAAGACTAGCAGCATGGCAGTTATTCCAAACTCATAGTCATGCCCTTGACCCATATGGGTTAAACAGGTAGACAAACAGGTGTTAAACCAAATACCGTGAGTACTCTCAGATACGATGTGCTGGTTTTGCCTCAGGTAGAGTTTATTTTCTTTACAGTGACTAGTATGAGGCTGTGTTTTGGATTTGCACTGAACATAGGGTGATAATATAGAGATGCTTTTGTTACTGCTCAGCAGTGCTTCCACAGAGCCAAAGCCTTTTTTGCTTTTCATACTGACACACTGGCACGGAGGCTTGGGGTGCATGGGAAACTGGGAGGGAACAGAGTCAGGAGAGTTGACTCCAGCTGACCAAAAGGGTATTCTACACCATATGGCATCATGCTTAGTATATAAAGGGAGGGAAAGAAGGAGGAAGGTGGGGGATGTTTGGAATGACGGCATTTGACTTTCCAAGTTAGTGTCATGTGTGATAGGACCATGCTCTCCTGGATATAGCTCAACACCTGCTCATTGTAAGCAGTGAATTAATGCCTTATTTTGTAATACCTGTTTGTGCAGCTTTTGCTTTCTTATTAAATTGTCTTTATTTCAACCTATGAGTTTTCTAGCTTTGACGCCTCCAGTTCTTTCCCTGACCCAGCTGATGGAGGAGTGGTGGAGAAGTGAGTGAGCAGTCGTGTGAAGCTTGGCTGCTAACAGAGGTTAAACCACACCATATGCTTTCATTTGAGATTTTCTGGTTAAAGGTGTCATCAGCCATCTGAAAAACAGTAATACAGTTGTTCAGGAACATGTGGGAAATATTTCTCAGTGACACAGCTGAAAAGCAGGTCAGCTGTCTGAAAGCAGTTTTACAGTAAAAGGCCTCGAGGTCCTGGTGGACAGCAAGCTGACCATGAGCCTTTAATGCATCCCTACAGAGAAGGTCAACAGCCTTCTGGGCTGCTTCAGGAGCAGTGTTGTCAGCAGGTTGAAGGACTCTTCCCATCTGCTCAGCCCTGGTGATACCAAATTTGGAATCATGTGTCCAGTTCTGGTCTTCAAGATACAAGACACAGACGGAGTTACTGGAGTGAAACAGCAAAGAAGGAAGGCAGCCGTGAAGACATTTAGAAGTCTCAAGGATCTTCAATACAAGAAAAGGCTGAGAGAGCTGGGACTGTTTAGTCTAGAGAAGAAAAGGTTCAGGGGGATCTCAGTAGTACACACAAACACCCAATGAAAGGGAATGAATAGGAGGGAATCAATTCTTCTCACTGGTGCTCAGTGACAAGAGAAGACATCATGTATGTCAACTGAAATACAGGGAATACAATTTAAACATAAGAAAAAATAAATTGAATTGCAGAAAGTGGCTGTAGAGTCTCTGTCTATAGAGATATTCAAAACTTCTTAAGCCACAGCCTGAGCAACCTGCTGCAGGTAACCCTGCTTGAGAATGGGTTTGGACTAGACAACCCCTGTAGATACCTGTAAACCTCAGATATTCTGTAAGTTTGTGAGACCTCACAAGTGGTTTAAATGGAATCTGAAAGGGACTGAAGTGAATTTTGCAAGGAAAATGGTGAAGAGCACATACCCAAACAGATCCTGCACCTGAACTGAAGAAAAGTAAATTCTTAAACTGCCTGACCTCTGTCACAACAGCACCACTAACAGTGACATAACCCTTCAAGAGCTGGCTGACATCAATCCATCTTTCACACAGAAAACATAAATTCACAGAATCAACTTCCAGGAGAAATGTTGAATTTGTTACTTGTTAAAAAGT